CAAAATAATAATTTATAAATGATCAGGGTTCATGAGGGAGGGTGAGCGGGGAGGAAGGGGGAAAAATGAGGAGCTGATGCCAGGGGCTTACGTGGAGAGCAAATGTTTTGAGAATGTTGAGGGCAATGAATGTACAAATGTGCTTTACACAATTGCTGTATGTATAGATTGTGATAAGAGTTGTATGAGGCCTTAATAATATGATTAAAAAACAACAACAAAGTGAATTGATCCATTTAATCCTATGATTCTTTGAAGTAATAATAAAGAAATAACTGAATCAGATGTGTTAGACTTGATTCTGGTTCAGTTGTACTATAAGTAAAACTATATTCCACCGTGTTTACATTGGACACGATTGCTCAGAAGTAAGACTATCAAGCCTTTCTTCCAAGGTACCTCTGGTGGGTTTGAACTGCCAGTCTTTTGGTTGGTAGCTTATATAACCATAGTCCCCAGGAATCCTTGAGGTTATAACAGCACCAAGAGTGATAGTAAAGGAGAATGAGGCAGAGAGGTTAAGAAACTTGCCCAAGTTCACACAGCAGAAAAAACTTTTAAACAGCTTGGCTCTAGCAACAAGCAGTACATCCTTTCAATCAGTGCCCCCAAATGCCATTTTTATAATACTGCAGTAATTCTTATCAGATGTGATAAGCAGCACAATCTATTAAGGAGGCCCAGAAGGTGACCGGCAAGAGGAGAACGTACCCAGTGAGGCGGTTCCGGATAATTTTGACGCTCACGACAGTCTCCCCCATGGTGGCAAAGGCTCTGGAGATGAAGTTCTCATCCATATACGGCTCCAGCTGTGGGGCACGGAGAGCAGTGTGACTCGCGACAGCACCGTCTCCCCCAGCCCTCAGCCCAGAGTCGGCTTGTCCGCTGGTGGGAGGGAAGAGCTCCCATCTGCAGAGGGCGTGGGGGAGGGGAAATCCAACTTTGGGCATCTCCACTTCGTCCCCTTCAAATTTGTTCCCATTAAGGTGCCTCCCCGTTGGACCTAAGGGCTCCATCCCATCCCTCGGGTC